AAGGATGCTATATTCACAGTTGAGAAAGGATGTTTTCCAAACTAGTGGTCTCTTTTCCAAGCTACAGAAATCCGTGCTCAAAAGTCTTCGAAAGTGTGGCCCTTCAGGATCAGTTACACAGACACGTTCTTAAACGCCCGCCACCACATATATCTACAATAAATACGTCAGCAATTCAGGGAGTTTTGATTAAAATGATCTGATGTTCGACAAAACGAATTCTGGAAGCGACAAATACCCCGGATTGTTGTAATCATTTTAACCACACAGTTTGCTAGTTGGATCAAGTGACTAGGTTACATTGGAACCTAGGGCTGTTGGACTAAACTATTCAAATCCTTCATCTAAAAAACCATAAGATTCGAGTATCAGCCGTCCCAGTTTTAAACACGCCATGTAGTTCCAAAACAAAAATGTGATATCGTTAGTACTGAATGATATGACTAATGAGTGCAGATAATCCAGATACACAACCACCAGTCGAGAGATTATCATGCCTTTGACCCAAACAAATACAGTAATGCAGTAAACCGAAAGATTAGGGTTTGAAGATGTTATTGAAGGAGTATCATCCGATGAAAGAAATTTGGAAAAGGAAAAAAGAAAGGGACATGAATTCAGAAGACCCGAATTTGGCAGAACACAAAGAGTGGATACACCTTCGCCACTGCAAGTGATTTGAAGCAACGTCATTCAAGGTCTCTAACCATCGGTTGCTATTATCTCGCAAATCCCAACCAGGTAGCCTACACCTACTTGCCAGTGACTTCACGGATTTGTGCTATATTTTGGACTGGCCACCCCCAGCTTTCTTGCAATCTACTCCTACACCATAAAACATCGTACGTCAGGGCAGTCGGTGGTTGGGCATACGTAACACATGTCCCAGCCATCTCAACTGATGAAGTTTCACTACTTCATCAATCGATTTGCCATCCCTACCTATTACCCATTTTCTAATAACTGCATTACTTATTCGGTGGTTTCAGGATATACGGGCAATGCTTCGAAGGCACCTATGATCGAATACTACCAGCCTATGAATATCCTCTAGTCTTACCGGCCATGTTTCACTGCCATGAAGTAGGACGGAACGGACTGCTGCGCAGTAAATCCATCCTTTGTTTGCTAGACGGATATCTCACCTATACAATAAATGGCGCAAGTTGGCGAAAGCTAGACGAGCCTTCTGTATCCGTGCTGAGATTTCGTCACACACCAGACCACAATGGCTGATGAGACTCCCAAGATAAGCGAAGCGGTCAACACGCTCAACTACTTCACTCCCTATCATTAGTTCAGGTGTCGCTGCAACCCAATCCTGAAGTAACATTTTGCACTTCGAGGGAGAGAATCGCATCCCGAACATGCCTACATAGTTGCTTATAGTGGTCAGAAGACTCTGCATGTTGTCAGCGTCTTCACCGAGTAAAACTATGTCGTCGGCGTATTCTAAGTCAACAAGTGAGCCTCCCGGTAAAAGTTCAACTCCTGGAGATGGAGATGATTAAAGTGTTATTTCTAAAAGCGTGTCAATGACAAAGTTAAACAAGAATGGGGAGAGTGGACAGCCCTGACGAACACCACTTGAAGTAACCAATTCTGGTGACAGTTCGCCATAGGCTCTAACTCGACCAGTTGTGTTCGAGTAGAGAGCATTTATGAGGTTAATGTACTTCTTTGGTACTCCTTTCAGTGACAAACACAACCATAGAACCTCACGATCAACGGAGTCAAATGCCGCCTTAAGGTCAAGAAATACTACTATTGTGGGACGTCTGAATTTGTGTCTATGTTCTAGAACCTGACGTAGAGTGAATATCTGGTCTATGCAACCACGTCCAGGTCGAAAACCAGTCTATTTTTCTTTAGTTTGCTCTTCACGAGCTTTCGTTAGGCGTCGGAGTATTATTGAAGCTAATATTTTAGACACTATATTAGTCAAACTGATTCCTCTATGATTGTCACAAGAGGACTTTTGCCCACTCTTATAGACTGGCACAATCAGTGATTGGGACCAGTCAGATGGAATTACGTCCAGTTCCCAGATTCTACCTAAGACCTCAGTCAATCTCACTGCTAGTACTGGACCACCATCCTTAAAAATCTCAGGGGTCAACCTGTCAGGGTCTGCTGCTCTCCCTCGCTTTAGATTTCCTATAGCTTTTTCAACCTCGTAAAGAGTCGGATGACTTACACCAATTTGCCATTCAGGACGACTGGGGATCGTGGGTAATTGAAGTGTGGCTGAAGGCCAGTTGAACTGATCCCTAAAGTGTTCTGCCCATCGGTCCAATCTCCTGGATTGAGAATGGATGATATGTCCATTTATTTTCGAGATAGTTTCGCTGACAGTTGGGTTAATAATACCGGTTTCTTTAACGAGTCTGAATAGCTGTCTGCTGTTACCTAATGCCGCTGCCTTTTACATCTCTCTTGCTTTCGCTACCCACCACTGTTCACGATCATTGCATAGAATTCTTATTAGCTTGCGCTTAAGTTGACTCCGCTCTTCGTTATGCTCAGAGCCAGGTGGGATGAGTTTTCGAGCATCTATCAGTGCGGTAGACGCTGCTGAGATCCAGTGCTTCTCCCTAACCTTATGGTTTACCTTACTAGCGAATATCACTGCTATTTCCACAGCTCTTTGGATGTCATTTTACGCTGCCTCGAGGTGGGCACAACTTACATGTCTGCCTAACTGTTTTTCCAGTTGTTCCTGAAATATATTCTTAGCTTGCCTATCATTAAGTAGAACCCAAAGAGGTTTCAATGCAGTGTCTTTCCTACGTCCAGTAAGACGCAAACAGATACGTGCTCGCACTAGAGCATGATCTGAATCTAAACATGTGCTGCAGAATGAGCGAGTCTTCTATCGAGCCCTTCCATCGGTGGATGATAGCGATGTGATCTAATTGGGTCCAACGTTGGGACGAATTCGGGGGTCGCCATGTCAAAAGACGTTTTTCCTTATGCTTAAAGTTAGTATTTGCAAAATACAGGCAGTTATCTGAGCATACCTGAAACAGTCGGTCGCCATTATCTGTTCTTTTCGCCATGACACCATAAGATCCACCCAGGTGTCCTTCCCTTTCACTAAGTTTACCTACTTGAGCATTAAAGTCACCTGCTACTATTACTACATCAGAACGCCTAGCTTTTCGGAGAAGGTCAGAAAGTTTCCTGTAGAACTCATCTTTTATATCGTCTGAGCTGCAGTCAGTGGGAGAGTAGGCAGAGACGACGAAGAGGCAACGACGAATTTCCCTATCTTTCCGGGTCCTTACTGATCCGTTTAGTCGAACAGCGCATAGACGACTGTCTACTGGGATCCAGTCTAAAAGAGCTAGTTCTGCTCTAGGACTTAATGCTATACCTACTCCAGCGAGGCCACGGGAAGCAGCGTCAGGGCTTCCAGATACACGGAGCGTGTATCGAGATGAAACTTTATTTTGATTAGGTGCGGTCAAATGAATGACACTACTCGGATCTTGTATGCGCGTTTCGGAGACGCAGCACACATCGATGGTGTAAGAATCTAAAGTCCTATCTAAGGAAACCTGTTGTCCTATTTGGCACAATGTTCGAACATTAAAAGTTCCTACATGTAGTTTAGAGCGTGGTTTCAGGAGACTAGGAATGACGTTCCGTGTACTCGAATCGTTTACCCTAGCGGTGCGAGGTGATAAAGTGACGTGGGAAGGGTTAGTCGTGGAGATAAGAGAGTTATTAGGTGTAGGAAGGATTTGAAATTGACCAACTTGGTCTCGTGTGCAGTTACGGGTATGAGGGCAGTTATCACTTCCCGGCCGTGGAAGGGTATTTCTTGAGGGACCTGAGAAGTTGGATTAGTGTTGGTCTTAACGACCTGGGAGCGTGACCGCAGTGCCCAAGGGATAACTGCTTGAGGTCGGTCACACACGACCTTATTGTGTTAGATACGTACTTGTTGGGACCTTACCGCTGGAGACGGATATCCGTGGGATAAGGAGAGGTGTGCATTTCTAGGGTCGACCTTTTCTAACCTCAACCCTCCTTGTGGGAAGGCAGCGTCGCTGTTATGCTGGTTGCCTGAAGGAAACACCTTATTGCCATCACACCTCTGTACAGTCAGCAGTACGACTTTGGACCTTAGTTTGTTGCTTTTAGTCTTACTGCTATTCAACCAACCTGTCTGGCGTGGTAGGACCTTGAGGAACGATTGTTCCAGCCAGTATAGCTCGATTGGTTCATCACTCCAGGTAAGCCCGACCACCACGTCAAGGTAGCGGCAACGATCGGGACAAATTAGTCACTATCTGTGGGAGAGTACTCTGATAGCTCTGCCAGCAAGAGCTAAAACTTAGCATCCGATACCTCATTGGTTAGAACTAAAAACCAGTAAATAAAACTTAGTTTGAACTTAAATGCTACCATACTAACCAATCAAGGCACCTGATTTGGTATATAACTTTACAAAACGGTCGTAAAACGTTTATGCAAACTGAGACCGCTAATCTGCGCGATAACTCTAACAGGCAACAAATTCGTACCAAGAAGATTGTAAAGTACTCAACACCTTACAGGAAATATTCAGATTTAAAATATCCCACCGCGGATTTATAATATTAGTTTTGACAATCAGTGGTCTTAGGGCCCTTGATGTTCACAAAAAAGAGATGTAGTTTGTAACTCTCATCACTAAGCCTAATGGGATCCAGTGTTATTTAAAAACTTAGTCTTGTTAGGTCGATTCTATTCTATGGATCATAAGTCCACTTATGGCTATTTACATTCGAAAGTTTCATCTCAAAAATATGTAACAATAGAGTTGCACTTTATCTATGTCACCACCAGCACAGTTAATGATGAATTCTGAAAGGCCAATAAACCCCATGGTACGTAAATTGACGTTGCCACAGCTGAGACTATGTCGACCGATATCACTAGCCAAGATTTGGGATACAAAACACGTCGATCTAAATAACGTTAGTAGGATGTATAAAAAACAAAACTATTTCGAAAAAATATTTTCTTCTAATAAAAAAGAAAAACGAGTGTATTTATCTTTGTGTAAATTAGATCATTAGTATCGTAAATATAAAGACAGTAAAGTTAAAACAAAAGATTCAACTTCATGGGAAAAAGTTTCAAGTCGTAATAAATATTTACAGACAAGCATGGGGAAAATATAGGAAATACTATATAGAAAATAGATGTGTACAGAACTGAGGTTATGGTAACAATGATAATAATGACGTGATAATCAATATGGGCATCTCCAAAAGTCACATAATCATTACCAATGTTTATCCAGGCAATAATGTGAATATACTTAGTACTCCAGTTTGTAGTAATTTAACATATTTTAATATCTAAGTAGGGTGGATCGTTTTCCGGATTGTCAACAAGTTGAATCCATGAGGAAATTAGCAGCGTACAATTAGGATCTGGAAGCGCAATAACATAGAGACGGTAAATATCTTGCGAAAAAACTGCAATTTACATGAAGATAGGAAAACAATACTGTGAAATCACGGAACATCTTCCTTTAAAAAAATGTTCAAAGTTGAAACTGATGTAAAAACTATTCAGTGAGATTTAGCCTTTGTTTTTCATATTAATGAACGAATAATTGGAGATAGAAAAGACGCTTATTAGCCCAATATCCATTAGTTAACCTATTGCGAGTACCTCAAACCGACAAAAACTGAGCCCATTTCTAAATCCAACATTGGATATCTGAAATTACAACTTAGCAACAGTTGTACGAAAAGCCTTGTAAATGGACATTTTGCACAAATGGTAGTCCCATACATGTAGTCTATGAAATGGGAATAATAACATAGGAAGTATATGAATGAGAATTAACTTACATCAGTTAGACAAAATCTTAGTTTTACAATCCTCATTTGTTTGGAAGGATGTTATCGCTGATGAATTACTGGAAGAGGTCGAGGCAGTACTGTTATTTGCATCAGAATAAGACGGTACAGAAAAGAACCGACCACCAGAACTTCGTATGCGGTTCATAGCATGTTTATGCCTGGACTCATGAAGATACTTCCGTCTTTCCTTCGGAATGCGACCTTGTGCTTCTAATTTCGCTCGTGCTTGGCGACGCTTTAGAATTCTGTGGTACTGTTTAGCATTAACGTAAAGAGGTTCTTCGCCGCCAGGAGTAAGACCAGGTGATATTGTTGAGGATGCTTGTGTGGACATTCCCTGCTGACCTATAGCAGTTTCAGGTTGCGGACTAGAAACCTGAACAACTTGAGTGTTTGAAACGGCTTGAGATAATCCAGACTGGGTCTGGTGAATAACTTGGACTTGTGAAGACTGCTGTAATTGTTGAAGTATGTGAGTTTCGTCTTCAACAGTTGTCCCTATAATCTGCCCTTGGGCCGATGTAAGGTTAGCGTCTAAAGAAGTGGTTGCAGCAGACACTATAGGTTGAGTTGTGTATATTGTTTGCTGAGCTGCACTTGGAAGGAACATGATGACCTGACCCCCACCAGCAGACGTAGCTAGTTGAACGGGAATCAGGCTACCATCGCTAGCCTGAACAGCGAACGTAGTTGGTTGAGCGGCACCGTTTGCATCCATTATCAAAGGCTGTTGCAACGGCTGTAGAATAGTTTGGGCTGGAAGGACTTGACCAGCGTGTATATAACCGTCCCTAAAGTAACACAGGTGCAAAGGTCAAAGATGTGCGACAGGCGCATAAACTGAAGCAAACAGCATAAATAACAAAGACAAACTTGTCTAATATGAATATGACTATAATAAAAAGTCAACACGTCACTAATACAAAAATATACGTTACGAATCTGCTGCAGTGATCATGAATTATATATATATACCTTTATGAGAATATCTTTTAATAAGTCCATAGAGAACGGTATGCTCAAAACGATATTAGTGGCTATGCTTTGCCTTTCTAATAACTTGATATAAGGTAGTCATACAATTTTAATCGAACCTAAGCAAATAGTCGGGAATAAAATCCGTATTATTACGGAACATGATAACGGATTTACTAGAGATTACTCAATTCCATAAAATAAACATTAACATTGCCACTTATATCCCCAGATCTTCCTTGGTGACTTCATGAACATGTTGACTAACGTGGACGGGTTGTGTTGCGTGTTTACCGGTATTGATTCATGATGATGGAAGATCCAGCTGTAACAAGAATGATATATGTCAAGCTCTTAACGTACACCTACATCCAACCACTGCTTATGCCGATGCACCATATTGGTCGGTATGTGAGTAGGATGAAAGCTAGGGTTGGTCAGACAGAAAAGTAATGCCAGCCCGCGTAGTCATCGACTAGTGAACTGAGTTGTGTTGGAAAGTAAAGATCATTTAGTTAGGGTGCGCGTGATAATTGTGATCAGTTGTTGGAGCTAGTGGGTAGCATGTTTTAGGATTAGTCACACCAGGACAGATGCATTTATTTGCTTTTCTTGTATACTTAGTTACAAGACTATTCAATGCCCTCTCTTGCAAAAAATAATTGAAATATCAACTTATATTTCATCTTGCCGTGTTGGTGTGTGGCAACTTGGACTGATGCATATTTACCAAGTTCTGTGTTATTGGACCGTAACAATGAAACCTGAATTCTTCTCACGCCTCAGAACGTGTAACTTCATAAATCAATGTTTTATTCACTCTTTAGCCTACTTTTAGCCGGATTAGTAAGCTGGATATTGGTTGCACACATGTAACGCGTGCACCTGTTATTTTAATAAAAAGATCAACAAACAGCTAGACCTACTTACTACTATACACCCAATATAAGTACTTACTGGTTTTATAGTATGTCGACACTGCTCTGCAGGTGTAACAGGATATACGCTTTCTACCTTTATTTATAGTTTCATATTCCCAAAGCGTTCAGGAGCATAGAGCGGTGCAATATATTGGACGGATAAACAAATGTACGTGCTACGTTGTTACATACATATATTTACTGTACGTTTATCTATCGACGTGAAAATAACGTAGTGGATGTCAAGACTACAATGAAGAGGTGATATTCTTATTCACACGAAATCTTCGTGGACCTGAGACTACAGAACTTTATTATGATCGCTAATAAATACGATGAAAACTGACAGTAAGAACGCAGTAGATCTCAACTGTTTATACATTGACATGTAATATCATGAAACCCAAAAGCAATAGTTCGGTAGATAGAGGCTTAAGATTAGTAGCACCCTTGGAACTAGTCTCGAAATTAAATTCGACAAACATACAAGTTGATGTAACTAAACTACACGTCAATACCAGCTAAATAAACGTGAAACCAAGTGATGTCAGGAAGTCGAAAGTGAAAGGACAGAACAGAAAATTGTTTCTTAGGAAAAATAACGTATAAGTGAACTTGGAATACTGAGACCGTATTTAAAGCAACATGTGTAGGACCGTAAACCATGAATTACATCTACTAAAACCCGACGAAATAATCTAATCCCTTGGACGAACTAAACCAACAGTCATTTCAGGCAATAACGACTTCATCAGCTAGTGTAAGTGAACTTTATCAGCAGATTCTCCATGAACACATAACAATGATAAACTTAATAAAAAACACTCATAAGCCAAGCATAAGTTATCTACAAACAATATTCAACTCACATCATTACAGAAAACGTATGGTTCCAAGATATACTCCAAATACGTAAGTTCCGGAACCAACTCTTTTGGGCGGGTTGCGAAAAATGGATTCCACCTCATTTTAACAAGCGCAAACACAAAAATTGCTGGAAGCGCTTGAAGTAAGTGAAAAACCTCGAAAATGAACGAATAATATACGAATACTGAATGATTGGTAGGTCAAAAGAAGGTTAGCTTGATTAGATTTACCATTGGTGCATCCACTTCTACTTGATTCTCGCTTATTGGGTCATACTCACATGTACGTATCAGTGATAGGTCGAGAATAAGGTGATAATCACTTGCTGGGATTTTCAGTGGCTTAAATTATTCAGCAATCAAGAACGGAAAAGTAAGGAATTGGATAGTTTTTATTGCGTACAAAACAGCAAATAGACATTGAGGTTGTCAGTAATTTTTAGGCCAATGGATTCTTAGATTCACTGTCCTTAAATTATATTCTGACGGCCAATCAAGGTTGCGAGCTTCATATTTAACTTATGAACGAATAGCAAAACTGACGCCCTATCATCTTTGAAAACCAGTATAATTTCTATCAAACTGTGGGGTATAACACACAGAAGTACAATACATACGAGTGGTTAGCAGTAAAAGTACTGGTCATAAACTTATAGAGAAACAATGTTTATAACACGTTGTAATAGGATCATTTCACCAATTTACATGCGAGTTAGTTTTAAAATTTATGCCATTAGCAGTTGAGTGTCTAGTATTAGTTTAAATACTCACAACACCAATTTAATTTGGGAACACTTCCATAATTCCGTAAAATATAATTATCGTGATAATTAAAATTTGATGGGCATAATAATCTATATGTTTGTTTTCTTTCCATACCTAATGTAAAAGATGTCTATATTGGTTAGTAGGTAATTCCTGAAAGCCGAGTGAATGTTGTTTTGATATGACAGGGCCTTGTGAAAGTCACCTCTCTCAATCCATTGATCGATCCATAGTTATGTTTTCGTCCAGTATTAAAGTTACAATATTTGTTTACGGCAGAAGTCTATCACACACGAAACTACAAGTGTAAGGGTAAATGACAAATAAAACGACATTGGTAACTGACATCAATCCATGATAGAACAATCTATCACATCTATCCAACAACAGCTTCGAGAAGCTACAGAAGGTTCTACATACTTTCATAAGGTATAAGGATCATTCTCTTCTAAATATAATGGGTTCAGGTCCTTTGATTCGTTAAGCCGGGTCACTGAGCTACAGTTTGGTGGAGATTATCCCACCATTTTGCATTAATGACAGATATTGATAATAAAGAGGTACCTCGAGCAATGCATGGTGGACAAACCCCCTACGATAGCAAGTCTCAGATAGACCGAAGGTTTTAAGGTGCTTGAATCCTTGAAACTTCAGGCTCATAATGAAATTGTCCGAGAGTACCAAATTAGTATGTGCATGTAGTCTGTTCTTCTATCCTTCATTGCTTTTTAGACTCAAACTATGTATTTCCGTCACAATCTGGAGTAAAAATGAAAAATATCTGTTGATGGAAACTATCAAGTTATCGAACTATAACTACGCATTAGCATAAATTTTCCCTACCACGTCCTGTTCACTAAAAGGGCATTGATAAGTTTTGTGCACGTGGGACAACTGAATACCAGTAATTGATCATTGATAGGTTGTAAAGGATGGATATCTGAGCTTCTTTAGAAAATTGAACCGCGTGAATTACGAAACACTCTATAGGTGCTTACTTAAATAGATACAGATGAAAGTCTTGGGAAGATTATAAGACGTCTTAATACATTCCGTTCCGAGTAAATATTCTTCCAAGTCTTCAATACATTAGGATGAAAAAGGACATAGGGAAAGATATACTACCGTTGCTTTTTAACGCTTCTCCGAATAGCATATTGCTGGACTAGCAAACTTGTATCTCCTTCTGACTTGATTATATTCAAAGTGCTAAAGCTAGGCGGTAAAGATACATCTGCCTTATAATTTCGGATGGACGTACGTCTATCTTCCGCTGTAGAAAAGGACTTCAGTGTTAACCTACGATACAACAAGTATCTCTCTTAAGAATTTCTCAATATATGGAAGTATATGCTATATTAGGGTTTCTCCAGAATATTAGGTACCACGACGTTTGGACTGTTTAAAATCGTCAGCACTACACATACTTTGGTGTAGCCAGAAAGATGTTATTATCGGAATACTTTATCCCAATTCAGGTAATACTCCTGAACGAAGGACAAAAAGGAAGACAGTTGAAAACATCGTGCACAGATTAAATATATTCAGTAAAACTTCTATTTATGCAGTTCAGAAGATGAAGGGGTTAATATTGGCAAGGTGTATCATGATGTCTAAAACTCCATTCACCCTACCTAATCACAAATGCACTATTACACTAAATAACATGGATGGCACATGAAATGAAGGTAGAACATTGAAGAACTTCTGCAGGTAAGATGAAGACGTCATCTTAGAGAGTTTCAAGGTTTATAGGTAAATCTTGACGAGGTAATTATAATAAGCGAAATCACTTAGCGACATCCAGCTTTCCATGTTAAAAAAACATTTCATATAACCCAGATGCAAAGCTAGAAGACAGTACGCTAGTTACTCGAGCACTTTCGAAGGAATTTGACTTACTTTATGATTTGAGGATTAAAAAGCAGGGGCTCTTCATGTCAATCTATATTCGACCATAAGATGGCTGAGTGGGGGTATTGTAGGGCTCAGGCTGAGACCGATGGTAATGGACTTATCTATCTCACCAGAATAACGTACCCAATTCAATTTTGTACGCCTGTCATCGTCTGACTACCCAACCCTCAATATCTTCCGTCAAAGTCACATTATTGTCTGTACTGACTTGCCCTATTTTGATAGTCGGTGATGCTGTTCTCAAGAATCCTTAGAGAAAACATTCAGTGTGGCAAGAGGATTAGATAATTAGTATAAATAGCAGGAGGATACATAAGATGACAATGTCTGCATGATAAAGTCATCCTGTCTCGATTTCGCAGTTGTGTGAAGTTCATATGTCATTACTTACTCACAAATCTTTGTACGTGATAAACTTGGGTAGGTGAATCCTATTCAGTGTGCAATGACGTGATACGTCACAGTAACTGATTCGAATGATTACACCTTCAACGAAATTTACTTCAAATGAGTCCCGATTTATTCATTCAAGTGGATCATCTACATTTTCCTGTAGTTATATCTTTCAACATCCATTCTACTTTTCTGCCATCCGTAAACAATATGATAGACGAATCAGCTGCGCCCAGTAGATTGTTAACATAACATAAAAGGAAAGAGTACCTGGAATAGTCCTATGATCCAGGATTCACTTCCAGATGGTGTAGTGATGAAAAAAACAGTTGATTATTACGAAGACGTTTCAACATCTACTTCGGTCCGGATAGTTCTCAGAAGTACTGCTGTAGGGTCTTTGCCTCGATCAACTCTGCTTGTAGGTATTTCGTTCCTTGGGTATTCTGAAACATTAAGATATATACTTTGAAAGTCTACAGACAAGGAATATCCACCGGAACTCAAACCTAGTGTCTTGGAAACAGAATTGTTACCATATCTACTCAACAAAGCTGCAAGTTTGATTTCGTATTCCTCTACTCTTCAAGGTTATTAATAATTATTTGCTGTTTCAGATATATTCGTCTCATTTTGGCCATAAAACAACGGATAATTGACAGTCTTTGGAATGACTTGTCTTAATCTCATGTTATCGTTGACCGTTATCGATTTCTACGACAGTTAAATTTAATTACTTTCTACGTATTCACTGAGTCGTCCGCACAACTCATCTCATGCTTTTCTCTCTTCTACATCTTACGCACTGTGTTCTGCGTTCTATTTTAGCAAGCAAAGTATTTTTGGGCTGGACACGATCAGTCACACTTATGGCGAAATGACGTTAAATAATGTATATGTTGCACAACTCTACCTAGTTTTGAATGGTTCTCTATGATTAGGAATGTCCGACTTGTTGGTAGTTTTTCAATACTATATAGGTAGCATCTAGAGAAAAGTGTCCCATCTGACTATGAAGAAAGACAAGAGTGATTTTTTGCTTTTTCCGTTGTTTCAAAACCCAAGAGAAAAGCATTCTTATGAGTGGGTCTTATCTCAAGATCCGCTTACATTTTCGGAACCAGCTTCGAAACTTTCGAACATTAGATACATAGGATCTAAATGTCTTAGATATGCAGTGCAGAGCTCTAAATTCAAACCACAAACTGGTTCTTGCGGCTACTAAATTATTAACGAAGTTAACTGTAAAGGTCTTTTTTGACAGACTTCAAAGGTTCTGTTTTTATCGTTTAAAAACAACATTGAGGTGACTCAAGAACTGTCCATAAATTAAGGTAAAACAGTGTGGAACTGTGCCCAATAGTATTGTATCTGAAATCAGTCTTCACCTTGAAAAAACAAGAGTTTTAATCCTAAAAATTCATTGCAAACTTTTGAAACTTCGAATACAGAGACTCGATAAAATCTACTAAATATACAGTGAAGGTACTCTATTATAAAACATTATGGGATGATGTGTTGTTGGTGGATGGTCTTTGTGAAACGTGCTAACACTGAAATGACCGTTTAGTATACATGTTCCTGATATATGGTTACCCCTACCACAAATCAGGACAGTCAGCGATTTTTTGGCGATTCCTTTTTCTTGTCAAAAGACGGAAGTTTTCTTAGTTACTCCCGTTTTCAAAAGGAATCATGAATTTGTTGTCCATAATGACTTTTCAGGGCAAGGATTTACTTCACTTTTTCTCAGGCTACAGAATATCCTAATTAGGTCTCATAGGATTCAGTACTAGGACCTATTCTTTTCTTAGTTTACATAACTGACCTTCTTCAACAAGTACCGTTATTTGCTGACCATGTTAAACTTTGGAGAGAAGCTTGCGACCATGGTGATAAGCTGACGCTTCAGGAGGACCTGACTCCAATTCAGGGTTGAGTGGATAAAAACTGACCAACTTTAAACACTTCAAAGTTTAAAGTAGTCCACCTGAAATTCGTTGTTGACTATACATACAACTCAAGTAACCCCTCTCTATTAGTGTCCCAAGTTAAAAAAGGTCTAGGAACCTTGATACTTTATGATATGAATTCTTAGACAAATTGTGAAAATATGCCTTTCGAGCAAGTCATGCGCTGGTAACGTTGAGGCGCATTTTCGGTAAGTCTGACAGTAAAACTTTGCACATAATCCTAAACATTTATATTCGGTCCCGTTTAGAGTACGTAAATACAGGTTGTTCCCCTTCACTTTAAAATAATATGAATACACTGTGACATATCATAAGGGGAGATACGAAATCAGTCTGGGGACTCGAAGTCGAACTTGGTGAAGAGCGCCTCAAATTACAAAATCTTTGCGCATAACAGTATCAGTTTCTCAGGGCTCACCTAATGACGTGTGGCACCCTAAATATTTCTGGACAACCCCTTAAGCATCCGCTTAAGCTTTGATCCAACACAAACCTTGGGGGTAGTACCCAGAAATTAAGGATACAACATAACAGAATGGACTGTAGGCACAGCTTTTACTGCTTACGAACAGTTAAATTCTGCAGTTTGCTACCCTCTGAGGTAATCCAAACGACTTTCCGGGAGTCACTTAGGAGAAAACGAAACATATTTTTAAGGAATCACGTCAGTTCATCGCTTTTATTTAGTAATACTTTTCTTTTTGTTGTTATATGTGTCAAGATTCCTGTCTACAGGTATCGGTAATCCATTGCTACTAGATAGGGTAACCTATTAAGCGACAGTTTCTTCTATTCCGTCAAAAACCATCTGAACTATTTTGAACCATCTGAATTATGAGTTCAGTATTCCTATTACACAACATCCAATTAGTCACTACTGCCATCTGTGACTTTTATGGTTAGCAACAGTAATAAAATACTCTAAGGAACTACACCACCATTCCTGTAAGTTTACTGACCAAAGGTTTGGGAAACGGGTCAAAGATTTGTATTAAAGCAATCCCCCTGTACAATCTAGGAGCTACTTCACGCAATGAGATCCTTTCTTATCACAAAGTTAGGGTGGTCTTGATATGCAACTTAGAATAGAGTGTAATCTAAGGATTCGATTGTCTTATGTTTAAAAGTGTCCAGTTATATACTTTTGTTATCCCATGAGAAAAATATGGTTTCTGTTACCTCTAACACGTGATTAGGACTAAATATAATTTATTATATTTTGAAGACTGATTTGTTCTTGATAGCTGAACTACTTGGATGGTAAGAAGTTATTGTTCCCATGCAATAGATTGGTTTATGATGGTAGCTTTATTTAACACTTGGGAGTTACAACTGATTCAGTGACACATATGGCAAGATAAGAGGCGAGAGGTGAGTCACATCACAGTTAAATACAGTTCATCTACCAAGAGTTCAAAGTTTGTGAGAATTTTAAATTAAAAACAACAATTTTGCAACAAGAAAATAACACACATATTTCAATCAAATTATGAACAAAATGTCGATGGGACACGTTCTCAGTCATAGACAGTTTATGTTACGGGAGAAATATTCATTTTATCGTTCACATTCTCTAAAGT